CTAGCAGTTTTACAAATTCTTGGTGTGTAAGCATATATATATATATACACAATACTTGCACACACAAATAATATCTATTGTAAATATACGTGGAATAGACACAAGGATAGCAATGTGTGATATTTGCATAGGGCTTTGGGAACATGGCAGGGGTAGGTCCCAGCAGTTAAGAACGTTGGCCAGGAGCTGAAACACCCACCTAAGTTTGAATTCCATCCGTGCCATTTACTGTGTAACGTTGGGCATTTTATTTAACTTCTCTATACATTAGTTTCCTCTGATATAAATTATGGATAAAAATCTGGACAAGAAGAGTAACACAGGGTGTTTTGAGAACTAAATGCGATATAGTGAGTGGTACTTTGAGAACGGAGCTTGGTACATTGTGGATACTTAGCTACAATCACCATCATTAGTAGTTTACAGTATTTTCATGTAATCCATCACACTTGATCTAGCCCTTTATCCCTATTTTACAGAAGAAGAAAGTAAGACTTTGAAGGGATTTGCCCAAAGGGATACAAATGGTAACTGGCAGTGCTAGGACGAAACTAATAGTATTTGTCAGCTGTTTTAAATAAATCCGATTCAAAGGGTCAAAGACCACAGATTTATAAAGTTGGAGCTATTTCGGCAGATTCCTCCTTCTGGACACACGATACACTTTTCTTTAAAATAGTCGCCATTCAGAACACAATCCATGAAGCTTTTTGGGAAACAGATATTGATTTTATTTTAAGTAAAGTCTTTAGCATAGAAATTGGATGGGAGTGTGATTTTCTCTTTGGGCTCTGGTTCAGAGGAAATTGGATTTCCTAGAGCACCAGCTGTGGGGAAGCCACAGGTGCTCAACTCGGCAATCATGGTGGCTAATTGGGACACATGGACAGAAAATGCCCTAAATCTAAATCTTTTACCACGGCACTTTCATTTCTGCCATAAGAGGAAGCCCCAAAGTCCTTCTTGACTGGGGTCGCTAAGGGAAGCAAGGGCTGAGGACAGGAAATATGGCCCACGGGGAGCCGGTGGTGGCCACAGGGTGGGGAGGGGCTGGAAGTGCGAGGGCTGCAGGACCGGGGCCGTCTGTACTCAACCGCTGCTGGCTTAGCAATGGCAACGGGACCATGGGCCCTTCCACCTGCGTCCTTCTGATTCTGAGTTGCAATCTAAGGAGTAGAAGCAGCGAAAGAACAATCCTGGGAATCCATAGTTCAAACAACCACACGGCAGCAGGTAACAAGAATCTGGATGGTTGAATACGATAACGCTGGGCCTTGGAAGAAGAAAGGATGGTGGGCAAATGAGTGAGAGCAGCTAGTAATCAGTTTCTGGGATTGAGAGCCCTGGAGTGGACAATTCTATACCCTCCATCTGAAAAGACAGGGAGATGGAGCCACATCACGTTCTCTCTCCTGTGGACCACAGAAATCACAACTGTTTTACCAACACCAAACCCAAGCCGGGAGGAATTAAGTCCTTTGTCCTAACAAATAGCTGTGTGTGCCAAGTTACTGGTATCTATGTCTATGCCCTGAGTTCATCTCTGGGTTTTATATTTTTCTCCTACATGGGAAGTCACTCCCAATTCATCCATCTAATGAACTAATCTTTCGAGGCCCAGTTCTGGGGTCACTTCCTCTGCAAAGACATCTTTGGCCCCTCTAATCAGAGCTAAGACCTCTTCTCCATCCTCCCAAGTCATCTTACCCAGACCTCTGTTGATACCATGAGAAGTGACCGAACTCCTTACAGGGCCGGGAAGCATGCTCGGCTCTGGAAGGCGGAGGGACCAAGCAGGTGTTCTGCCCTGAAGGAAGGACCTTCAGGCCTGTTTACTCTTGGTCCTCACCACGTCGTTGTGATGCTTTGAGGACAGTGCCCGTGCCTCATCCATTTTATACCTCCAGAGCCTAGAAGGGCTCATGGAACCAGATAGGTACTCAGCAGTGTAGAAAAAATGGGAAATGGATGAACATAATGATTAATACGCAATTATCCCTTTGTATCTGGGACAGAAAGGGTAGTTGTGAAAAAAACCTTTCCTTTGAGTCCTTTTTTTGCTGTATCTATTCTACTGCTAACTTCTGAACATTTTCATTTGGTTTAGAAATAGACTTGGATTGAAGATTGAAATTTGAAGGCTTCTTGGAATTAGTGATTTGCGTCAAATGTAGATCTCTAAACAAAATTCCGTTGTCAGCCACCTGAGTCTGGTGCAGTTACTGTCTTGGCTACTTATTAATTATGTTATCTTAACATAGTCACTTACATTCTCTAATCTTCCCTTTACTGAGCTCTGAAGTGGGAAGGATAATCTCTCGGTCTAGGAGAATTTGGGAGGAATTTAGTGCTTGCCCGGTGCTGGCGTGTGTGCTAGAGCTCGATCATTGGTAGGTTTTGTTATTTCAAAAATGACACAGGGGTGTGATTAATCACTCGTTCAAATATACTGTGCATCTCCGCACTGTTAATATTGACCATGGTCTTGAGTGATGCCCCATCACACCTAAGTTTTGTATTAGGCTCTTATTATAAATAAAGAACTTCTGAGTGCCAGATAAGCTTACCTTTGATGGCAAAGACTATGTGAAACATTCCATGACATTGGTAATTTTCTACTAAGGAATTACTGATTTCAAAATTCTGAGTTTCAAGAAATTCAACAGAAACTGTCTCTTCATTCTCAGTGCAGATTTGTGTAAAACTTTATAGTTAACATTCCCTACAATCACTTATTGTTCTCCAGACCAGGATGAGAAAAAATAAAATAAAATCTTAATATTTTTCACACTGAAAAAAAATTCATTTAAGGTAATGGTACATGCTCAAATTGGGTAGGAAAATTCACTACCATAAAACATTGAAACCTCTATTTCTGTCTGATTACGAAACTTAGCCATGGAACTTATAGTTTTAAAGCGATCCCCATCAAAATCCCAATGTTGTTGTTTTGCAGAAATAGAAAGATCCATGCTAAAATTCCTATGGACCCTAAAGGAACACCCAAATAGCCAAAACAATCTTGAAAAAGAAGAACAAATTTGAAAGTTTCATACTTCCTGATTTCAAAACTTACACAAAGCTACAGTAAACAAAACAGTGTGGTACTGGCATAAAGACAGACACACAGACCAAAGGAATAGAATAGAAAGCCTACAAATAAACCCTTGTACATATGGTCAAATGATTCTTGTCAAGGGTGCCAAGACCATTCAATGGAGCAAGGGCAGTCTTTTCAACAAATGGTATTGGGAAAACTGGATACTTACATGCAAAAGAATGACACTGGACCCTTAACTTACACTATATACAAAAAGTAACTTGAAATGGATCAAAACCCAAAACTAAACATAAGAGTTAAAACTATACAACTCTTAAAAGAAAATATATAGGAAAATCTTCATGATGTTAGATTTGGCAATGGTTTCTTGGATATGATACCAAAAACACAGGCAACAAAAGAAAATAGATAAATTGGACTACACCAAAAGTAAAATCTTCTGTGCATCAAAGAACACGACCAACCAAATGAAAAGGCAAACCACAGAATGTGGGAAAACATTTGCAAAACATTTATCTAATAAGGGCTTAATATCCAGAATACATAAACAGCTCCTACACTCAACAACAACAACAGCAACAACAAAGCTACTTGATTAAGGCAAAAAACTTGAATAGACATTTACCCAAAGAAGATATATAAATGGTCAATAAGTACATGAAAAGACCCTCAACATTATTATCATTAGGGAAATCAAGTCAAAACCACAATAAATACCACTTCACATCCATTTGAATGGCTATCATTAAAAACAAAACAGAACAAAACAACACAAAAAACAAGAAGCGTTGGTGAGGATGTAGAGAAATTGGAACTCCCGTGTGCCGTTCGTGGGAATGCAAAATGGTGCAGCTCTGATTGAAAACAGTATGGAAGTTCCTTACTGTTAAAAATTAACATAGGGTCAAACAACTTCACATCTGGGTATATACACAGCAGAACTGAAAGCAGGATTCAAACAAATATTTGCACACCCATGTTCACAGCAGCATTATTCACAATAGCCAAAAGGTAGAAGCAACCCAAGTGTCCATTGACAGAGAGGGAATAAACTAAATGTGGTCTCTACATACAATAGAATCTTCTTGAGTCTTAAAGAGGTAAGGGATTCTGACACCTGCCACAACATAATGCTGGTAAAATCAGCCAGTCACTAAAGGACAGATACTGTATGATTCCCTCACATGAGGTCCCCGCAGCAGTCAAATTCACAGAGACAGAAAGTAGATGGTGGTTTCCAGAAGCTGGGAGGAGGGGCAAATGGAGAGTGAGTGCCTAATGGGGACAGAGTTTTAATTTTGGAAGATGAAAAAAGTTCTGGAGATGGGTGGCGATGGTAGTCGCACAGCTACATAATGTAAATGTACTTCACGCTACTGAACTGTACACTTAAAAAAGGTCAGGAGGTAAATTTTATGTTCTATATATTTTACCACAATTTTTAAAATTTCTTAAAAAAGAACATTAGCCATACATAACTGGAAGTTTGCAAGGAGTGTGGTTCTGGAGGTTCACAGCAGCACTGAGAGAGGCTTATCAACAGTAATTGACATCAACCTATGAGGACCTTGGGCTATGCAAATGGGCCCTAATTAAAGAAGTGCTTAATTTCCTTAAAGATAAAGGGTCCCTAAATAGACTAATAGTGGAAAGAGAGATCTGATTTTAAAGGGACTCTGTACGAAGCTGCCTCTGTACAACTGCCAAGGGGTGAACAGATAAAAGAAGACTACTTGAGTCTATGTGTAGTAATAGATGATAAATTCTGACTTTGTACTGAGTTTGTTTATTAAGATTAGGAACGTTGAACTCTTGATCAAAAAGATCAAAAAAATCCTCTATTCGCAAACCTGTCTTTGTGCTTTTCGGAATTCTTGTTAAGGTAATAGACAAACATCTGTTTGCACGTAGAGCCTGAAGTAGGACACGGGGTCATTACCTTTATGTGGCTGCTTGGATCGCCATACGTCTGTGGACCAACAGAACCTTTCCTGATGGGGTGTTGCTGATAATTTCAGAGACACAAACACTCGATTGGATCCAATAACTACATTTTCCCTCTTCCTCGAGATGCAGTCACTCTAGGGAAGAATAAAAGAGCAGAAGAATGCAGTTGATTATCATAATGCAACAAGGATCCTACCTGCGGGGTCTAATCACCAGGGAGGTTTGCGCTTGAGGACAGACGGGGGATGACAGCCAGGCTGGGTGCACAAACACACGGAGACACTACGGGGGGACCTGGAGATCGTATCACAATGCACTGATTTGTGATAAATGATTCCTTATAGAAAAATCTCTTTAGAAAACTAAATTGCTGTTTGTGATGTAAAGATTACACAAACTGTTAACATGTTCTCAATAAAACTAAGTGTAAGTTATCTTTGATTGAGTCTGAAAAGTATTAAGACAGTATGAAATATTTAGAAGTTAATTAGGGAAGCATAGTGATGTATCTGCATGTCGATACAGAGCTTTTATCATCATAGTTTGTCAGATGTGTTTTTATTTTTATCCTTGTCCATTCAAAAGGCAGTAAATAAGCTACAGTCCTTTCCATATAAAAGGCTTTCTAAGGACATCTTATTTGCTAATGAAAAAGGAAAACAAAATACAACCTCTTAAGTATTAATTTAAGATTTTCATTTGTTATAACTATAAAGCAACAACAAAACGCAGTGTTTAAAATGGCCTTTGTGCATATTCTTCCATGGTGAATGTGTACTTAGTGGGCACAGTTATTTTGAAGCTGTTCTGAGATGTTACTAAATTGGCTAAGAATGGTTTGAATGGTATTCAGTGCAGAGGTTTTATGAAAAAGCATCTTAATTCTCATCATATGAAGAACATCAAGTAGACAAATTTAAATAAATCTTATAAACAAACCAACACAAAGCAAGACAATTAAGTGATTAGAAAATACACGAAAAGGATTGGATATTAATGATCAAAGCCACTCTATCTGATATAGTGCCAACACTGTTAAAAAATCACATTTTAGGGAAATATTGTTACATTAATTTACATGTTTTACTTTTCTGGTAATCCTAGAAATTCACCTCTATCGCTTTAAGCATTTCATAATGTGTTGTAGATTCATCACATGGATCCCCATCATTCTGGGGACTCCGTGGGGTTCTGGGAAGACAGCAAAGACAAAGACCACCGGGCTCACCCATGAGGGGCAAATGACAGGCTTTTCATTAAAGTCATTAGGGTCTATAACATCGAATTTTGTGGACAAAGTTGTATTTGACACATCCTCTGTTCTCCATGCCCACGTTCACGGCTAAGTCAGGGAGTTGAAAATACCTTTCTCATTCCCCACATGGACAATGCCCTCCTCTCAGCCTTCACGGAGCTTCCTCCAAATATTGCTGTGTCTGGATCCTTGTGACAGTGACCTTGATCCTTTCCTTGTTCCCTTGAGCTCACGGGGAGCTGGGGCTCACCCACAAATACAAGACACTCTGCCCCCCTTTTGGAAGAAGGGAACTTATGGTGACTGTCAGCAGGAGACACCACCTCTTCTCCAAGAGGTATTTTCACCCCGGAGTCATTTGTCAGATGTAGATTAAAAACGGATGGATTACAGGTTAAATGCCCTTGAAAGACAGTTGATGCTTCTTATTAAATGTATATATATTTTTATTTAAGACAACTGAGATGTAAAATAGGAATTTCTTCTTTAAGGCAGAATTTTAAAAAGTGAATGAAAAACTGAGCTGATGATTCTTTGAACAAAACACCTCTCATTATGTAAGAATCCACAGAACCATCTACTAACGACTGAGTCCCTTAGTGACGTGATCTTATAAGACATCACCTTTTCTCAATTACTCAGGTACAAGATGAAGGATTATGCTCCTATGGTTCTGGCTGTTTACAGTTCTCTGTCACATATGCTGCTTGTGATCATTGGTAATGGAATTTCCAAGATGAGCTCTCATATGAAGTGTTTAGCAGGTAGCTTAGTTGCAAAACACAAATGACGCAAATAACACTAGCAGGCGGGGGTGGCTTCGGATGTTCAGCCCCACTGTGTCCTCGGGTACAGCTTTGCTGCACCTTCCTCTCATCCACCATCACTCAGATGAGGATTAATGGGGCTTTCTTTATAGCACTGGCCATTATGTGAAATTATCCTACATGTTTTACTTTGTTTTAAACTATTTGTTTTGAGATAATTGCAGATCACGTGCAGCTGGAAGAAATGATACAGAGATACAGAGAAGTGCCCTTGACCCACTTCCCCTGGTAATATCATCTCCCCAGACTCTAAGATATCGTCACAACTGGGATATCAACACCCATTCACTCCACTGATCTTGCTTTACTCGTGCTCCCGTGCATGTCTGTGTTTAACTGTGTGTGAACTGATCACTTGTGTACGTCCACTGTACACCCGCACAGCCAAGGCACAGAACACCGTCACCACAAGTGTGGCCACGCTCTTATAAGCTCACCCACTTCCCTTCCCGCAACCTCGAATCTGCCTTCCATTTCTATAGTTTTGAGAATGTTCTATAATGCAGAGAACAGACTGGTTGTTTCCAGAGGCGGGGGAGAGGGGTGTGGGTGGGGCTAGGCCAGACCAGTGAATGGGGTCAAAAGCACAAACGTCTATTTGTAAAATCAATAAGTCCTGGGAATGTAACGTACAGCATTACATCTGTGTACATTTGTGTCGTATATGTGAAAGTTGCTAAGCGAGTAGATCTTAATAGTTCTCATCACACACAAAAAACTTTGTAGCTATGTGTGTTGATGATGTTGACTTTTTTTTTTTGGCTGCACTGGGTCTCTGTTGCTGCGCGCGGGCTTTCTCTAGTTGCAGCGAGCGGGGGCTACTCTTCGTTGCGGTGTGTGGGCTTCTCATTGTGGTGGCTTCTCTTGTTGTGGAGCACAGGCTCTAGGTGCACAGGTTTCAGTAGTTGTGGCACACGGGTTCAGTAGCTGTGACTCACGGGCTCCGTAGTTGTGGCTTGTGGGCTCAGGAGTTGTGGCTCGAGGGCTCTAGAGCGCAGGCTCAGTAGTTGTGGCTCATAGCCCACAACGCAACCATGGAGGCATGGAACAGTTGCTGAGCAGATTCTGCCAGACTGAACAACTGAGCCAACGATGAGCTAAACCATGAAACACACCTCTGCCCAGCATCTTGTGGTGTCGACCAGCGCTCGGCACATGGGGAGTGAGGGATGAGGGGCTGCTTGGGGAATGCCCACACCGGGTTTCAGTTTGGGGCTGTTGCGGGTCCCTTCTCAGGAGCCCAAATCATTTCTTCATTTTAACATAGTATGTAGTAGCATGTAGTAAAGAAGTGGTTTTAAGTAAAAACTCAGTTTTAGATCAGTGCATTATAAATGGCTGCATTATAAAATTCATTTTAACTTTACTTTTATTAATATTCATGATATAAGGCCAATTTTGATTTTCCCCATTTAACAAGAGTGTGTATTGCTTAATTTTTAGATTAGTTATGTAGTGAATAAAAAGCATTGTTTGTCCCCGATTCAAGAATGATTGATTACATCATATTTGGTTTTTAGACTGATTATGTATTAAGAGATAGATTGAAATTTAGTAATTTATCTTGTCATGGAAAATAGACATAAATGACCTCCTGTTTGAAATGTTTGCATTTTGGGCTAAGGGAAACCAGATTTCTTTGTTTCTTCCCTCCCTTCCTTCCATCTTTCTTTTGTTCTTTTTAAAATTTGTTTCCAAATAGTGAGGCAGAAGAGAATATTCTAGGCTGATATTTGTAAGTACTTCTCCAAATATAACATATTATAAATGGGGTTATCTTTATGTTTTTCCATTTACCATTTTTAAACAAGTATCAGAGAAATTGTGACTGGCAATATGAGAAATCTGATCTATGAACGTAACTTTCGGAGCTGGTGTAGACCATTTTGAGGTAGGTTTGCTCCTTGCTAATTTGTATGTTATTATTAGAACTCCTTCTGCTTCTTGTTTTACTAACGGCTCATTGTGGATCTATGGCTTACATAGGACGCGGCTGCACATTAAAGAAACATCAGCAGTGCACCCAGGCCCCACAAGCCACGTGGCTGAGGAGGGACAGCTGAGAGGTGGTCCTGAGCACCCCCCGGGGGGCATCCAGGGACCGCCAGGATCTCCAGCAACCCAGGGCCCGTTTGGAGCCCCACAGAACCGTTCTGCTGGGAGCCAAGAGTATCTTTATTTGACTGGTTTTAAATATAGACAACGAAACAGCTGTGTTTAGTGTCTTTGTTAACACGGACCGCGCTCGCTCAACAGCGCTGAAACCCCCGGGAATCCGTCAGCTATTGCGGGAACACGCTGCTATCAAGGGGTGAGTGTTTGTCAGTCACCAAATGTGCTGTCACCAGAGAAGTGCGGGGAGGAGTGGCTGGAGAACTGACCTGCGCCCTCCTTCTGGGAGAAACAGGCCACCCCCTCGCCCAGCGCAGCTGAGTCCCGGGTTCCGGGAACTGCTCTTCCGATTCCAGGAGCTGAGAGCCTTCAGCCTCCACTCCAGACCGTCTGTGCTCTGAAGACTGCAATTTCCAGCCATCATGATGAACAACAGGATGTAATATGACATATCAAAAAATGTATTATGTGTTCTCACCAAAGTTATACACATACATAGTTAAGGGGTCAGGTAGCTGTACATGGCTTGTTATGGAAAACTGTTCCCCAAATACCACCCGCATTCTACTCCCAGCTCCCCAGAGGGCAGGGTTTTCAACTCTTTCACCCTTTCTTTTGACATTGACCTCCATCCACATCCCTAACAAAAGCTCTCCCTCCTCTAGGGCACTATTTCCCACCCAGAAGCGTTCATCTGTCAACTTCCCAGCTTGGAGAAGAAGATGCTTTCCAACACGCACACCTGCCGTCCTGTCTCAGACACTTCTGTCCCAATGCAGTCACGGGGGACATTACGTTAGACCATTAACAACGTTACGTTGTCATGACTATGAAAACACTGTGGACGGTGGATCGTAGGTTTTACCACATCCCTCATCCGCAGTCAGCAGCTGTGCTCGTGCACTTGTATCCTCCCTGTGTGCTTCTCAAGAGTTTATCC